CGATACAGAGCATACCCGTCAAGGCCAACGAGAGCATCGGATATATGGGGCTTAAGCCAAGACTCAGAAACAGTTATAACATGATAAAAGTTAGACCTGAAATATAGCCGAAACTCGTCAATATGTGCAATGATGGACTGCGCGTTGACGTGGCAAACACGGATCCCGGAGGCCACGCTGGACGAAGGCGAGGGACGTTGAGTCGATGGATGTCATGCCGGAATCTTAGCGAAGTCGTCAGGATGTCCAATCTTGATGGAGGTAGAGGAGCCGTCTTTGAGAACGTAGATGGTTCCGTGACGTACCCAGACCCGAAGGTCACGGCGTGGCTTGGCAAAGGCTCGAGCATCAGCAAGAAGTTTGATGTTGGTCGGAGAGAGCCTTTCGTTAATATAGATGCGTGATGCAGGCAAACCAGCATCAACTTCAGAGGCCAGCAACACCGGTTTCTTCCTTTTTTGGTCAATCCAGGCATTCCGTAAAAGGTGCTGACAAATCGGAGGACCAACGGAGGAGCACCCCCAGCTTTAGCAGGTAGGCGAAAAGCATCAACAACCTCCCCAGGGCCAGAAACCACCCCTAGAGTGGTAGCAAGATTGGAGATGGTCTGAGCAATAGACCAATCAGGGCAAGCCGGAAGGCCAATAACGATAGCCTCAATGCTGAGCTGCCGCTGGGATAGTTGCTCCACTCGTGCATGAAGGTCAGCAGTACTCTCGTTGGAAGAGGAGGCCAGAGCAGACGCAGTGAGGCGATTGTCAATCCCATCGAGTCGGAGTGCAAGCGCAGAGTTGCTCTCCTCAAGAGATAGGCGACGGGCAGAAAGAGCAAGGTTAGACTCCTCTAGCGCGGTACACTTTGAGTTGACCACCGAAAGGTCAAGCGACAACTGGCTGATTGACGCAGAGATATTTTGCGTGGTGTCAGACAGCTCGGCAACCATGTTCTTGATAACAGGAAGTTCCTTCAGTGTGGCGAGCTGGTCCTTAACGTCGGGCGTCGTCATAGCGAGGAGATTAGCAGATAGGGAGGGCGAGTCCATACTAGCTTGAGTAGGCTCGAGGGGGGCCGGTGAAGGTGATGCGTCAGTCCGGCAGTAAATGAGTGACGTCCTGGAAGGGCCCGCTGAGGAGAGGGCAGAGTGCTCCAACTTACATCGGCTGCAAAGGTAATCGATATTAGATCCTCCCTTAACAGCGGAACAGGCTGGGTGGACGTATATTTGGCAGGCAAATCCTTTGCATTTAAGAGTCTTGGCAAGGCTTAGAAAAAGTTTGCACACGTCACAGTTTGGCGGAGCCATAAGTGTAGAGGGCCTTGGGTGTCAGAGGTAACACGACATTGACAGCTGCCGTGGTAACGGAGAAATTACCACAAATCGGTAAGGCAGACAGGTGTAAGCCGAAAGGATTGTATCGACAACCGCGTAGACACAAGTAAATAATAACAAGCCTAAAGAGCAGGCAACTGCCTAATGGAGGCAAAAGGAGCCGACAAAAAAAGGCCCCGAAATTAACATGTGAAGCAAAGTGCACTGCAAGGATATCACCCAGGTCCGCACAGAGAAACGAGATGCAGATTATTATACAGATTAAACAATCTTGTAATCAGACCATTAGTATAGGCACAGAAACACCAAACACAATAGAAATCACGCATGAAGACACGGCACACCGCGTGGCGACGATAACGATACGTCTCACACAATTTCGATAAATTTCGCAATATTACGTGAAGGGAATGCGGCACGGAATAAAGAACGTCGCAGATCAGCACAAGACACAGACGCGTAACTGGAAAGAGAAACCGCACGTGAATTTAATTAATGTAACAGATTAGTGGACAATCAATTTAAGCAGACACTAGAGCAGCGCCATCAGAGAGGGAGAGGGAAAAAGAGAGAGAGAAAGATAGGGGGGGAGGTGGAGGGAGCAATTATCAATGTTCATGGCACGATATGCATAATTATTTTTTTTTTATTCAAAAATGCGTTCATCCACCATTTGCACTAGACATACCTTAGGCAAAGAGATTTTCGTGCAGGATGAGGCCCTAACGCAAAGTTGAAGGAGATAGTAGAGAGTAGTAGAGAGATAAGGAGTACTTTTTCCGGGACTTTTTCCGGTACTTTTACCGGTACTTTCTCCAGGATTTTTTCCTGTACTTTTACCGGGAATTTGTCCTGTACTTTCTCCGGGACTTCTTACGGTACTTCATCCCGTACGTTCTTCTGTTCGTCTTACAGCCTGTGCGTTTCCCTGAATCTGCACGGAGCTGTTTGCCGTGATTTTCGAAGTACAGATGTCCGTTGCTCATGTTCTTGAATTCCTGCTGTTCCTGGCCCTTAATTTCTCCGGGACTTTTTCCGGTACTTTTACCGGGACTTTTTCCGGGACTTTCTGCGGTACTTTTACCGGGACTTTTTCCCGGACTTTTGCTTCAATTTTGCGTCACTTTTGCTTCACTTTTCCGTCACTTTTGTGTCACTTTTGCGTCACTTTTCCTTCACTTTTGCTTCACTTTTGCTTCACTTTTCCTCGACTTCCAGCGTACAAGTAACGGCATATTCATCAATATCTGGATATACGTAAATACTGAAGAATGTACATACTTACATGCTTACCTTGTGTAACGATTAGAATAAAGACTTTCTCTCGTAATTTGGCACGTTCAAATACTTTCGATACGTATCGAAGTATTTCTGTTTTTAATAACATTCCTCAGTATTACGTATATCCAGATATTGATAAATATGCCGTAACTTGTACGCTGGAAGTAGAGGAAAAGTGAAGCAGAAGTGACAGAAAAGTGAAGCAAAAGTCCGGGAAAAAGTCGCGGTAAAAGTACCGGAAAAAGTCCCGGAGAAATTAAGGGCCAGAAACAGCAGGAATTCAAGAACATGAGCGAGGGACATCTGTACTTCAAAAATCACGGCAAACTGCACCGTGCAGATTCAGGGAAACGCACAGGCAGACTTGCTGTAAAAAGAACGGAAGAACGTACGGGATGAAGTCCCGGAAAAAGTCCCAGTAAAAGTACCGGTAAAAGTACCGCAGAAATTGAGGGCCAGGAACAGCAGGAATTCAAGAACATGAGCGAGGGACATCTGTACTTCGAAAATCACGGCAAACAGCTCCGTGCAGATTCAGGGAAACGCACAGGCTGTAAGAAGAACGGAAGAACGTACGGGATGAAGTACCGTAAGAAGTCCCGGAGAAAGTACCGGAAAAGGTCCCGGTAAAAGTACCGGAAAAAGTACTCCTTTTCTCTCCACTACTCTCTACTATCTCCTTCAACTTTGCGTTAGGGCCTCATCCTGCACGAAAATCTCTTTGTCCAAGGTATGTCTAGTGCAAATGGTGGATGAACGCATTTTTGAATAAATAAAATAATTATGCATATCGTGCCATGAACATTGATAATTGCTCCCTCCCCCCCCCCTCTCTCTCTCTCTCTCTCTGTAATAATATTATTTCTCTGAGCTACTCATAGTTAAAATAAAATTTCAATTCGTTTGACGCACCGTGCACGGGTTTTGCGTCTGACCGAACTCCCCCCCCCCCCCCCTCTCTCTCTCTCTCTCTCTGTAATAATATTATTTCTCTGAGCTACTCATAGTTAAAATAAAATTTCAATTCGTTTGACGCACCGTGCACGGGTTTTGCGTCTGACCGAACTCATACCTCGAAACAGTTGAGAATCGCGCGTTGGACGTGAGACGGCTGCACGAAGCTAAGGAGTTCGGCCAGTATCGGCAGTCTGTCAACGAAAACGCTTGGCGCTCGGATTAAGAAACAATTGCGAATCGCGCTATCTGGCTATAGCAGTTAGCTTTTACCTGCCACGACTATACCTCCCACCACGCAGCCACTATCCGCGGAAATTCTTCATTCTGATTGGTGCATCTTAAATGCTTCCCATTTAAAAACAATTGCGAATTTTGGCAAACGGTTTACGGGCGGGTACTCGGGGGACCCCCAGCCATCACCCACTTTCGGGTGTTAAAGTAGTTCTAGGACACCCTGTATATCGACGAAAGGTTGTGGATAATTAGTGCGCGTTCTTCTTCGGCAGCACGTTGACAGCTTTCCACGGCTGTTGACTCAATGGCTCGGCCCACTTCTCACTCATATCGTTTGAACATATTCGATCTCATTTTTGGGATGTTCAAACTAGCCAATATTTTATTCAGGGCTGTGCTTCCAACACCAGCATGCACGGATCCTGTAACATGATAAATTGAAAAAATATGTATAATTTTAAATGAAAAACAGATTATTTAGTATTACTAGCCAGTTCAACCAAAAAAGGCCACCAAACAACCAAATTCGCGGTAATAAACATCGCGGGCCAACTGTCAAATCCGCAAAGCGAATTCTGCCACGGAAAAATAGATTGTTTAGCCGTTTCATTACTCCAGAAACTTTTCATAAGCGGGATAATTAATGTATTGCATTATTTGTAAATTATTGAAAGCTTAGCGAACGTAAGATAATAACTATAAGCCGCAGGAAACGAAAAGGCAAGATCGCGGTTATAAACATTGCGTGACAACTATCGAATTCGCGATTTGAACTCTATCACAAAAAAATAAATTGCTGACGCATGAATATAGCCATTTCATTACTCTATGAACTTTTTATAAGAGGGATAGAAAATCAGTTAGTGATGAATTGAAATAATATTACGAGACTTATCCAGAACTGCCTTAGTATTCACGTCAGAAACTTTTGGTTTTCGTCCTCCTCCGTGCATTTTACCGGTCGCAACGTCTGACAGCACTGAACAACGGTGACATTTTACCAAAAACATGGAATTGAGTCCCAATCGTTTTTCACTTTCCACGTTTTGCAAAGAAAGGATACTAAATAAAGGACAAAGAATACTAAATTATTCCCGAGTACTTGGATTTCAACGATTCGTCTTCCTTCGCACGGATTCAAATCGCTCGATTGCGAACATTTCTCTTCGGTTTTTCGTTTTTTCGCTTCACGCATCGACGCTACAAAATTAGTATGTTGTTTCAATTTTTTTCTTGTTGTAAAACGCCCGTTGAATCGCACTCTTGTGTCCGTATTTTCCATTGTTTCAATTTTCGCAAAGTAACGTTCGGTCCACGTTCTCTCAGGTACATCGACGAACTGACCCAAAGTGACCGGACTGAAGAAATATTGGCGGGCAGCTTGGCAGTACAGTGTTGCACGATCGACGCGCCGCTCAACGGGTGCTATTGTGCCCGTATCCTTGGGCTAAACCTTCTATGTGTAGCGGCCCAGAGGGTACAGTCTCAGGTAGAACATATTCAACGAACGGGCTCGGGCTGCTATGAGCGGTACAGGGACTTATGAACGAAACTTTTTGCTACGACTGTCGTGACTGTACTACCTTAAGACTTCCTGACAACAGAGAGCTTCAGTAGCGGAGCCTCCTAGTCTTGATGATGCAGACTGAAACGTTTGCGAAACGTCAGCACGAAGCTGAACACAGACGCGGCTTTCATCCGAAACCATGAGTGTTAATGATAATATTGGCTACGAAAGTCTAAAATCTGAAGTTATTTTTCTTGTTCGGCTTCCCCTGCAGTAACTTGGCGGACATGTTTTGAAAATTGCAGTAAAAGTGAACCACTTCTCTGCAACCTCCTCGCGATCGATTTGCATTTGCTGAGTTTTCTTGTTTCCGTCTGACTCCGAATCATAATAGTGATACCTTTAACTTAAGAATCTTTAACAATAAGTATTCCGCTGCTCCTTAGTAGCGCATATAATTTTCGTTTTCAGCTTCGATGTAGTTTATGTTGTTTTGTATGAAATGTATGAAACATGTATGAAATATCATGTATGAAAATAATTTGATATTATGAACAAATTGATTGAGTTTATTTGGAAGTATGTCGTATTATATAATAGGATCCCAATTCTACGGACAACTCGGTATTGGAAGTCCATAGAATTGAGGTGGTCTAATCCCAGCCTCTATAACCTGGCAGACAGATCACGGCTCGGTCGCCAGTACTGTATTAATCAAAATGTTCTATGCATGTACTACTTATTGTGGTCTGGGCGACTTTAGTCACGAGAGAATGTTCATGCTATTGAATGACAGAGCCTAAATTCGCCTACCACGTATGAAAGAGGTGAAATTGAGGTGAAAGAACGGGGATTGACCGTAGAATCGAACTCCGTAGGAACAAGGTCCTACTGTATTTTGATAGGTAAAAGGATAATAAAAACGTGCAATATATTAACAATAACTTTTTTATTCAGATGGGTGATATGGTAGCTGCACTTGTTAAGGGATCGGAAGAAGAGGAAAATTGGATACTCGCTGAAGTGGTACAGTTTAATCCTACAGCGAATAAATACGAAGTCGATGATATTGACGAAGAGCAGAAAGATCGACATATTCTTTCACGACGTCGTGTCGTACCATTACCTTTAATGCGAGCTAATCCAGAGACCGATTCACATGCACTTTTTCCAAAAGGCTCTATAGGTATTATAATTATTGTGTAGTTTTATTTACATAGAACTTTATGATGTGACGTTAGAGATTTAAAAATCTTGAATTGAGTTGCCCTTATCAGTTTTTCAATTGCAGCTTTGTTTTCGAAATATGTTACAACAATATAAAAATAACCAATGAATGCTCGCGAAGGTTATTGACCGCGCGTAAACTGTCCATCGTCACTCATTCAGTCTGAATCACGTTCAGCTGGCAAGTAATTCTGTATCGGAGTCTTATTTATTACAATTATAAAAATTGTTCAAAATACTATAGATCCGTTTAAGCATCAATCATTTATTATCGAATACAAGTAGATCACATTCAGAATATGTTTTTTTTGCAATGAATTATCTGATAAAGTTGAAATACAAGATGAAATTATGTTCATATTTTTTTCAACGTAATGCCTATCACTTGGGCAATGACCGAATAATTTCAACTAATAAATAATACTTGAATTCGCTATATCAGCATTATAAAACATACCCAATAAAAACACCATAATGAGATATAAGTGGACGCATCAAATAGCACTATGATCATTATCTCAGTATATTTCGTCGATGATTTTACAGTTGAAAGAACTTAAAAGAATTTTTCGATTTAAACTTCTTTAACACTAGATTTACGGAACCCGTCATTTTGACGGATTTCAAATTTTATGTTAGACCATTAAATTCCACACTGGGATAAATTGCAAACTCGCATCGGCTAGTGTGGAATTTAAAGGTGTGTGACAAAGGCGTCAAATTCGAAAATTAAAGTTACATAAATTATAAGTATTATTTTATAGCAAATTCTGTTGACGCTGATAATCAACCTCCGGAAATCTAGTGTTAAGGTTCAACATACAACGCCGTAAAATTCTTTAGTTCCGACACATTCTGTATATAGCAATTCGGTCAACTCAAACCTTTTAATACAATAATTTGCATAGAAAGAGCATTAACAAAGTGTATAAACTATTTTTCAGTAATGGCACTTTATCCACAAACAACATGTTTCTATAAAGCAGTTGTGAATCAATTACCAAATTCAGCAATGGAAGAGTATGAGGTACTGTTTGAAGACGCAACGTATGCTGATGGATATTCACCACCATTAAATGTGGCGCAACGTTATGTAATTTCAATTAAAGAAAGTAAAAAAAGTAAGAGCCAATCCTAACATACATACTCATAATGCCATTGCGATTTAACAACCTACGTCGAATAGATAATGGCAATGTAAAAGATTGCTGAAAAAGGATAATGTATAGTGATTTGTTCCATTTATTAATAAATAATAAGTTTTTAAAAAAATATCAACATTCATGTTATTCAAATGGATATATGCAAATAATACATGCCTTCAAAACACGTTCGTGTAAAAAGCTTTGCCAAGTACAGCATTACTGTGAATTCACCTCATTAAAAAATTTCGTTATAATTCGATATACAAAAATTTTTATATCTCACTATGCCAAATACATAAGTCACTGGGTATCTACTTATTTTATATCATCTAGCACTAGCTCATTGTCTTTGTGGAATTACCTGTGACGTGCAGAGCGTTATTACACGCCTAGCGCAGTTAATCTCCCGCGCTATACGTGGAAGTTTTTTTTTATTCTTGTTTAAGTAAATTCTCGTCTTCCGTCCTATAGACCCGCCAAGTAGTACTCGATAAGGAATCAGTTAAAGTTTTATTAATTATTAAACAACCATTAAACCATAATGAAATACAGGAAGCTGTAGTAATGTAAAAGAGTAGTGAAAACGTTATAGGAAATTTTGAAAATACAATTGAAATGATGGGCCAGTGCTAGATCATATAATAAGCAAACATGTAGTGACTTATGTACTTGGTCTCAATAATCTGATATCAATATTTTTTATTAGAGGAATACATAGCACTCCTGTACTTGGCGTAGTTTTTTACACGTAAGTGTTTTCTGGGGGATATCACAAGTTTTTGTTGCTCAACGGGACATAGAAGCTCTAAGCACTGACATCTATATTGTCACAGATATAAAATGTAAATGCATTATGATGTCGCTAATCAGAAAAATATATTGCGTTGTCGAAAATGTTTAATGGCATATAAATTTAATTTGTAAGTCCCTTTTTCTAGAAATGCATAAAGACAAATTTTTAAAGAAAATGTAATCTTCAATGCATATAAGCGTCGTTAATGGTGTCCAGTTTGTTGAAGCCGTGTGGTACACGTAAAAGAGGAGAGTGTGCTGGATTATTTACGTACCTCAGGCCGTGTGAACATCAGAGAGGATACTATAGTTTAAGCGAAGCGCCAAAGCGGTGCTCGTTGCCCACTTTTCTGGACTTCTACATCCGACACCTAGATAAAAGAAACTACGGAGCGGAACACCTGGACACCCTGGATTTCCATATCCAGTACCTAGATAAAAGAAACTACGGAACGGAATACCTGGACACCCTGGATTTCCACGCCCGACATCCAGATACAGGAAAGTACGGAGCGGAACACCTGGACATCCTGTATCTCGAAAAGCTGTCATTTAAAATACGAGAACCTATATCGAAGCACACACATGCGTACACCTGTACACACGCGCTCCACATGAATGCTATTAAAAACTTAATAATTCTATACTGTTGCGAAAGCACCCTTATACTAACTGGAAATTCGGTATGAACGGTAGCTTCACGTATAAAGTGTATTTGATTGTGTTGTGTATTCGCAAATTACTAACACCATACAGAGTACAAATAGGTAAAGAAGGCAAAGCAGTCAACGCCATCTGTCGTGTAAAAAAGTCGATGGACGTGCGAAAACGACGACGACGGACCTGAAATAAAATCATCTCGCTCGCCATGTGAATACGTCCTGATTCTGTACACTAATCGTATTGAATTTGGTGGCAATCGATTTAGAACCCTTGACTCCTAGAGTGAATGTATCAATAAATTTTTCTCACATACAGCCGTTCATAAGATATTTGCGTCGAAACACAGGTACAAGAGGTGCTTTGAGTAAAGGGTCTCGGCGAGCCGTGCCCCGTACAGCGGGTTGCCTGTACTTGGCACGAGACTCGACCGAGACTCTTGATGATCCTAAACACTTATATATACAATACGCAACAATCTTCGCTATAAATAACGCTCGAGGCGAATGGTGGCCTCGGACCAGGTGACGGGGAGGCGTTTATGATAACATTTTTGTTACAATCATTATATCTTAAGGAACATATCCAAGTGTTGACTGTCACAAAAATATGAAAGACAACTGTCGATATGTTTTTATTCGGTAGGCGACGAATTAGAATATAAATTGATATTTAGATTACTGTTTGTTATATTAGATGGAGATGCTCAACAAGTGGCAAAGGCTGATTGCATTTTGATAAAGATAAAGTAATACATTGCATTGAAAAAAATAATGGTAAAATCATGAAGTATGATTGAAGGTTCTCATCCGGACATAACATTAATGAAAAAAGCATGTAACGAATTTGTTTAAAAAAACTTATCATTCTCATTAAGGAATATTCTTGGAGCGCAACAAGTATATTGCACCAAACCGTTGTGTATTGGTAAAATAGATACTTCATTATACTTTGCTTGTATCCTATAGAGATTAGCATTACCAACAATATGTCTTTAATTAATTATCGCATTACGATATAGGCAAATAAAAGTTTGATATTCAGTTAAGAAATTATATTAGAGACTTACAATTGTTACGTCCGACGCAACTACACCCCAAAATTTCCGCCAAACGCCCCTGCCCTATTATTTTGCGATCAGGTCTTACGCGCACCTAGCTCCTCCTTAATATAAACTAGAAATAAGATAGTAATAATCATAGGATTGTAAGTCCATGGGAACGGTCCCTGCACGGAATGTTCCCATGGGGACCTATCAGTGAGTGTAAGAGAGAGAGTAATATAAGTTGCATGAATTAGAGAACCTTAGGATCATGAACACCAGAGTAGGTGCCGATAACGTGACAAGACCGCGGGAACCAAGAACAGTCCGCGCTGGTCCCACAATTCCAGAATGCACTAAATCGTCAGTTTTCCATCCCTTCTCTAGACCCTAACACTCCTCGAGCCAGAATCGAGGAGTGAATTAGTCAGTTTACCTAGGAGTCTCATCAAAAGCAGTCACTTCACTTTCATTGAAACCTTGAGTCAGAGGCGAATTTAAGGCCATTCTACAATGCAATATAATAAAAAAAAAAGCAATAAGAAATAAGCAATAAGATCTTCAATTGATATTTACCTAATTCCATTGGATCCTCCAATCAAGAAGAGAGAGAGAGAGAGAGAGAGAGAAATAAGTTTATTCGATCGGGAGTCAACAGACTCCTTAGACCGGGTAACACAAAATAGCGATAATTACATAGATAATTGATAATAGTAGAGAAACAGGTACGATATAAACAATATAGATACATAATCCTGACAAGTGACAAGAAGTGACAAGAAGGAGAAAATCGTTTTTAAAACCGAGCGTTTACTAAGTCTTGGACATAGCAAC